GCGTATAATTGTCTGCACAGTTGCTCTTGGGACCTGTAGCTGCTTTGAAATGGCTCCAAGTGACTTCCCTGACTCTGTGATGGACTTGCGACCTGTCCAGGGTGTACCCCGCCCCTCGCACTGTGACTGCTGGAAATGGGCACCAGTGACCCACGCGACCCTGAAAAGGAAGAAGCGTGTACAGAAAATGGATGGATGGATGGATGGATGTTGGGTTTAATTAAAATTACAGTTTTCTGCAAAAAAATGCTCTAAAAATTACATTATCTTAACTTTTTCTGATAATTTTCTACAGCGATATATATCGTTACTGTGAAGGGGTTGAATTTATACTGTGATATGAATTTGAGATCATACCGCCCAGCCCTAAGGTGATACTTGAAGAACAAAGGACCGTGCTAGCTTTTTTCCGATGATTTCATTTACAACAATATCATTGAAAAACATGTCTATGCAACAACACCACTGTAAAGGTTCAATTTTTGCGCCTCCRGATTTTCATTTAAAACTGCACTCCTGTTTTTCGCTTCGTTCATCATTACAAGCAAAACATTCTACCAGTCGGCCCGCAATGCATCTTGACTCCGACCTGTCCCTCAAACTGGGRGAAACGGAGGACGCATTTGTGGGCCACARCTGGATGAYCCAGCCTTTGGCACATCGCTGTGACTTAATCGGCCTTCAAATTCGATCTTCGAAGGACACAACCCCTGAATCATCATCTTTGCATGTGTAGATCTATGGGATTACTGTTCTGCTCTCACAGTACCATTTTCAAAGTGGGTGCTGCAAAGCTATCAGCACACTAGAATAACGTTATTACCATTACTGAAGATGAAAGCTAGATTGGTTAAATGTAAAAAACAGGCAGACATTAGGATTCTGAGTTGTAATCTTATTTAACAGGTTTTGAGTTGCTCAGARGCGTGTGTTGTAAAAGGTTTTGCCGTCTCTGTGTTTGCGCGAGTGTGTCTGAGGATATGAGGCTGCTCTGCTGTTCCTGGGCCAGCCATTAGTCAYGCAGGAGTGGCTAATCTGTAATGGCTGCTGTCACAGCCCTACAGTGGCTCCTGGTGATGGGTGCATCGTGACRAATACACACACACACACACTCACTTTAAGCTTCAGAAGACACGCGGCACAGAAGTTCAAAACTCACAAACACATGCGCTCACTCCGCTTCCCCGTACACACAAAGAATCATCCATTCGTTTAATAGCGTTAAGACTTCTGACAAGATCTCCGGCACTAGTCATCAGTCCAGCCGCAGGTGACATGTAGAAAAGTTGGAGACCTTCAATTACTCTGCCATTACGACAAACTGAATCAAGCTTCACAGTACAGAAACATTGAGTTCATTTTTTTCTCTCTTTCTATGTCTCTGGCTTTGTTTTTTTTGTACGATTGTTTATTTTTAAGCTGAAGTGGACTTTTTAATGTCTTCAAACTCACTCAGTAAGTCTTATTCTGTTGTTTTTAACATAGAGCACAGTGGTTGTGGAGAAGTCCATTCAGGATCTCATGAGCCTGATGCAGGATCTGAGTGCCTACTCCAACCAGTTCCTTGAGATGGTCTGTGACAAGCTCAAAGAATACAAGGAAATCTGCAACACAGCCTATAGGTAAATGGGAAAAAACGTGTTATTTTATTTCATCATTACATACTTTTTTTTAAAATGTATTTGCTCCATTTGCTTTTTTTGAACACACATTTGGCACTGAAATGCTGTCCATATGTGTTCCCATGGRACCAAGTGACACCTGGTCAGGTAAAATAAGGGATAAAAAATGTGGAGAGATAAAAGGAGGAGTGATGAACTGGACTGGACACACAAGAGAGAACTGCTGGAAGAGCATATGGGCTGGGTCACAGGTCACTTTCAGACTTGGGGGGTGGGGAGCTCTGAGCAATAAAGACAAGACCAACAGATTATGTCAAAATGCATTTGTATATATA